CTTCAAGCACTTATAGTCACTGCATTTGTTCAGTGCTCGGGGAGAAAGCACAGCAGTCTTTGGATCTTGCGCTTCTTTTTGTTGGAAGAGAGGTAGGAGTTTTCATACCACTATTAAATAAAAGAATGATTGAAGAAAGTGTTAATTCTATGTCTTTATGCTATCCTTTCTTCCCCATACTGTATTCTCATGTCTGGTAACTGTCACTTGATCTTTTTCATTATACTCACTGAAGGGATCGTAACCAGATTCTAGGTCTGATAAGTTTATGTGCTTCTTCATATGGTCTTAAACCCGAGTTTTATGAATAAAGTAGTGCGCAATTATTTGTGTTTAGTTGCATTTCTTAGACAGTTTGATTAATGGACACTTACCAACATGGTAATCCAAAATGCCTAAGTATTATATTTGAGAGCAAATAGATGTAATGGTTTCATGAAAACTTCCCATGAACAACAAATTTCTTTGCCTTGTATGGCTTGATTCTTGAAGAGGAGTCAACACAAGTGTACATTTATTGTAGTGTGAATTGTCTTCAAGAGGAGTTTACCCTTCTATTGCTAGTCCTCCTACTGATTACTGATAAGGTACTATTTTCACCTGTAGTTACAATCTCTGGATATCTCTGGACATAAAGTTGCCAACCCAGCACTTGTTGACTTGCTCAAGGTAGTTTGATATGCTGCTTGTTACCACCTCATGAATATAACATATGGTTAGGATTTCAAACTGTTACATTGGCTTTTCCTCATGGTCATCATTCCATTCCCCTGTGACAGGTCTCTTTCACAAGGGCCAATTTTTCTTTAGCATACCCATATGTTGCTGCATTGGAGGAGACAGAGACAATGGAACATTCTCTAATTTCAGAGTTTGCAGAAACATGTGGCCATGATTTAGGAGTTGGTAACATTGCCTTCCTGGAGTCTTGCCTTGTAGAGGGTGAAAATTTTGAAAAACTTGCAGGCTTACACTCTGTCCATGTAAATATACTCAGTGGTGTGATATAATTTATGGTCAAATTCAAATTGTCTACGGAGAAGATCTTATGCATTTTTTTTCTTACTGGAAAAATCAACAGGATTACCTGGTTACAAGGATGAAAAGAGGACCTAAGGGGCATGCAAATCTAATTGTGTTCTGCCATGGAGGCTCCCATTCTTTGGAAGAACTTGATCAACCACATTCTGAGAGTATGTTAAAAATTTAGGAGAGTTTGTAGTTATCTCAATTTTAAAATTCTTTGATGGGCACCAGTTATTTTTGCATAGCAATTTTAATGCATCTAGTTTGATCGAATATGCAGGCAGGATGTTCTCTGAGCTTATCAACTCTGTGGAGCAGTCTGGGGCCAAATATTCTGTTCTCTATGTTTCAGATCCATTTAGGTCAATCCGGTATCCTTCTTACAGGAAGCTAGAAAGGTTTCTTGCTGAAGGAACTCCTTGGAAATGGGTCAGCTAATTCCACGACCTGTGATGAAGTTTGCCAAATTAAATCCTCTCTTCTGGAGGGAATTTTAGTAGTAAGTCAATATCCTTTTCCTTTTTAAGCATGCAGTGCAGTGGCAGCTCTTTTCTTTGTTGATTAATCTTGATTATGTGAGCATCACAATTCATTTTGGGTCATTCAGGTAAGCGGTGACCCTCATTTTGGAAATCTTAGATATTCTTCATCCAAGTTGACTTATAATGTTGTGAATTTCAGAACTTGGGTTTCACATGAACTGAACTGTTCATGAATAGCTCAGGATCAGCTCATAAGGAGCTTGTTCAACTTTGCCTATTTATTGAGCCGAGCTTGAGCCTCATTTTAGAGCTCATAAGACAAACGAGTCAAACTTGAACAATGTCCTGTTTAGCTCGTCAGGCTCGTGAACAGTATGAGCTCATTTATAAATTATAATCTAAAATTTATATATATGGCGTCTGCCTATATTGTGTAATGTGTATCATTTATTTTAAGAAAGAGGAGCAATATATGCTCATGCAATAGAAATGCTAAAAAACCAACTCATCCCACATCGAAATAGTTGTAAAAAAGACGAGTGGGGCCCCTATAAAAGTTGTAAGCTTTCACACCTCTGTTTCAAGTGGGAACCAGCTCCACATCAAAACTATAGCAAAAAGTAGCTGGAGGCACCTAGAAAAACAAGGCCTTCGATTCCCTGATGCATATTAAAAATTCCGTACAGAATAACTTTTTCACTTTATTCTTAAATTTCATGGTACATGGATAATAGCTAATAAACAGGAGCAGAATCTACGAGTTGCGCATAATAGAGGTGCTAAGCCTAAGAATTGGAATATAAATTGCATAAACATGCTTCTGATCAAATGTTGCATGAATTATGCATTTAAATTTCTGATGAGATTACAAGCCAAAAAATATCCAATGAGATGATCTGGATAGAGTCATCAGATTTATCTGGTGACAGCTATGTTGCATGGTTCTTCGTACTTCTTTTTCTAGTATAAAATGAAGGTAAACAAGAAAGAAAAAGTTGGTCAATTAGCATCCTCAAAGCTAATCAAAGAGCTGGAAGTTTCCTTTTGGTACCCGCAACCAGACCCGAAGTCATGGAAAGATCAAAACCAATGCAATGATAATATGATTTGATAGAGCCATGCGACTTGGGTTACCAAAAGTGCCATTATTGATGTTAAGCTGTTTCTTTTTTTTTTTTTTTCGAAGAAGTGTTCAGCGAATTTAGAGAAAAGCACTAAAAAAGAGTACTGTGCTATACTGGCAGAGCTTCAGCAAAACGAGGTAGGTAGCTTTCGCTAAGGATTGATGGGTTTGGGGATTAGGTCTTCTAATTAATGGTACTCCAAATGCGGGGGTCAAAAAGTTTTATAAAAAATTCTTGGTGGAAAAAAATTAGAGGTGTTTTTTTCATAAACCTTTACTTTTATCATTCAGAAAACATGAATATGAGAGAAATAAAAACAAACATGTGACCTTGTAGAACTATTCTATGGAGCTCATCAAAAAAATATGTGAAGTCAATGCATCCAAAAGTTGTCCTGTGCCATTATAACAACTGAATTTCCCCATCACTATTGGAGCTAATCATACTGACTGGCTTTATGTCAAGTTGTTCAACTTATCTAATTCCACTGTAATAAACTAAACTGGACGTTGGGATTCCAATAAGTTTGGTAAATTGGGAATTCTCATTTGTGGGAATTGAAGCATCTGACTAGCTAGTGGTAGATAACTTGAATGGCCTGAATGCCAACAGAACAGTCTAGTACGAACAGACACTCACATACTTCCGCACGCTCACAAACAATATACTCACCAAGTCAGTGCTTTGTCTCACATTGTTGATTTCAATCCTGTGTTAACACCAAGCTATGGTTAAGACTGGTTGGGTTGAAAGCCTGTGTTGTTACCTGGTTGCAGTTAAGACTTAGGTTGGATGACTTGTCCTCCCTTTTTTACTTTTTATATCATGCCCTTGTCATTAACAAACCGATTGTTTCTTATCAAGAAAAGGACTTCAGTTGGAAGGTGTGCAAGTAGTAGGAAGAAATGGAACAAGGGTGGGTGTGGTTATTCTTTACCTTTCTTGCACCCTAATAGTTATTTTATTTGCATATTTGTTACCAGTCATATTTCCCTACTGATCTTATCCTCTCAACAATAGTTCTTTGGTCTTTTTATTGCTTCGATTTAGATATCTTTGATGGCAAATTGGCTTGAGTTGAGGTGCACAAACCATTAGCATCAGAATCTTAAAGTTGATTGATGATGCAGTTGAGTCTACTAACATCGTGAAGGGTTTCCCGATATTGACAGCCCAGAGATTAGGAATCTAATTACTTGTGAACTCTCATCCAATTCTTAACATTAGTAAGTCTTTTCCTTTGTTAATTAGAGGTTTGCATTTGGAGCCTTGATGCAGGGGCATTGTTTGAGGTGGTTAGAGAATGTGAAACATAATCAAGAACTGTGCATTGTTTTATATAAAAACATATAACCACATGATTTGCCAGAATATATTCATTGAGTTACATTTGAAACTTGATGGTATGTTGTGCACTGATGTGATTATGAATCTGCTGATCATTTCTTTTTACATTGCTCTATTGCGAAATCACTTTGGCAGAAATCCATGAATTTGGCTTGTTTGTGCTAGGTGTCCCCTCTTCAATTAGTGCAATGTTTGCGGTTGAAATTTGGGGTCATATGGTTAGAAAGGAATATGACGATTTTTTAGGAGTGTGTGAATTGACTAACGATTGTGGCAGAGGATTTACTTGTTGCCTGTTTTTGGGATTTGGCTTTGAAGGGATTTATGCATATTCAATTTTGTATTCTTGGGGAATGGAGTGTTGTGTGTGCTTCATAGATGGTTTCATTTGTTATTATTTTTGCTCTCCTCCTCTTTCTTTGGCATGTGGGTTGGACTTCTTGTCCACCACCATGCTGATTTTTATTCGTTGCTTACCGAAAAAAGGAACGTGCCTGAAGTCTCTATTCTGCTGACTCCCTTGGGATCCTTTATTTTTAAGAAATATATTTTCAGCTTCACCTACCCAAATATATGATCTGTATAAAATTCTCATATTGTTGCTTTGTATGATGTTTTCAGGGGATTGTTCTACTGATAATTTTAATATCGGGCCTTTGTTGCATGATGGGTATCGACACTCCAACAAGGTTTGAGACTCCCCAAGATTCTTGATCTATGGCTCTGCAAGTATAAATTTTCAGTTTTGGCGCTGGTCACATCAGCTGTTCAACATTTAGTTTCTGTAGCTAGATATAACTTTGTAATATTGGCTTACTCATGAAAGTTACTTTATCGTGTACTTGTTTAATGGTGGAGCTTGATATTTTGACCCCATGATATTCATTTTTATTTTCTCTTTGTATATTTTTGAGGTGGAATATGACATGTTACTCGTATTGATTTGATTGTCGGCCTTGGTGTATCATTCCTGATTGATTTACACATCTAGATCCTTTGTTTTTTTTCAACAAAATAAATAAATGAAATTAATAAGGTAATTTGGTGGCATTTGGGATGGTTTATGAAATTCAATAAAACATTTATGAAATGAGTACCAACAAAAAAGTACTTTATGGAGAAGCATTTTCATAGAGCAAGTGTTGTTTATGTCCACCAAAAAGTGCTTAGAAGAAAAACGTTATATAAAGTGTGCTCAAATGTTCAACAAAAAAAAAAAGTCTTCGTTAAAGTATAGATATATCTCCAAATGCCAATATGCGTGTGTTGGTGTTGGCAGTGGTGGTGGTGTTTGTGTCGGAGACAACTATATTGGCTGGGGTGGCAGGGGCGGTGATAATGGTTAAATGGTATGGTAGGGTTAATGCTGGATATAAATTAAAGTGTTGTGTATGATACGAGTGTTTTTAAGGAATTATAATTTTTTTTTTGATATTTTTAATAAATCTCAACTTGATCAAAAATATAAATATTTCAAAAAAAAGGTATTCCAAACACCAATACCTTTGTTTAAAGTGATTAAAATAAGTCATAAATCAAAAAAAAAAAAAAAGTAAAGCTAGACTGATCAAAAAGGGGACCAAAAATAAGGATAAAATGTTGTGGTATTACAATAAAACCAACAACATCATTATAATAATGTCATAGCATTTGATTTACATTTTTTTGTTTCATTTTTTGGTCAATGTAGTACTACTCTCAAAATAATAGTCATCTCAATCACCACCTTAGAGAATTTAGGAACCACTTTTGAGGGGTTTTTTTGTGTTCATCAAACTATTTTTGAGATTGATCAATGAAGGTTAGAGGTAGTGGTAATATTGATACTAAAATGTTTTTCCTCGTGGTCAACCCTTTAGAATATCTTGGCCAATTGTAAATGGAAACGCTCTTCACACATACACACACCGAAATGCAGGAATACATGTTACTCTCCCTCTTCTCTCTCTCAGAGAAGTTGGAAGGCAATATTTCAAGGTCTAGACCAGGGTCGGATTTATGAAGTGCGGATATAAAAAAAAAAATTAGGGCCTATTGAAATTCTTTAAACAAATTATAATTTGTTACAACTTGTTCCCTATTAATTTTAATTTTTTAAAATAAGTGAAATTATCTCATACTCGCTCCGTTCCTATATATCTATCGTTTAAGGTTTTTGCACAGGGATTAAGGAATGTATTAAATAACTATAATATGAGTAAAAAATAATTACACAAGACTAAAATACCCTTATTCAATACGTATTGAGAAGGAAAAGAATATGAAAAGCACTTAGCCTTCACCTAATTTAATGCATTGAAAAGTTAAGGGTAAATTTGACAGAAAAAATATTAATTATGCTTTGGTTTCATAAAACGAAAGATATTATGGAACAAAAAAAACTGTATAAAATAACAGATATTTAGAAACGGAAGGAGTAAATTAAAAACTAGACTTAAATTTCTTTTGAGGCATGACTCAATCTTCGATCTCCATTTCTCTTCCT